TGCTGCTCCTGCTGCTGCTGCTGCCTTCAATGCTACTCCGGGTACTGCTGGGATTGCTGTTGTTGATGCTGCTGCTCCTGCTGCCGCCTATGCCGCTACTGCTGCCACTGCTGCTGCTGCTGCTGGTGAGGCTGCTGAGGCTGCTGAGGCTGCTGCTGCTGCTGCTGCTGCTGCTTTCAGGGAAGCGGGGAGTCTCAGGAAACATCGTTGGCTTCCATCAGAAGCTCGAAGCCCCTCTTACAATGCTCTGCTGCTGATGGGTGGAGGCTGCTGCTGCTGCACTGCAGCTGGGCGTTTGTATGGAGACTTCGTTGCTGCGTCTTCGGTGAGGCAATGGTAGACACTGCCGTGAAGATCTAGCCGTTGCAGCTGCTGCAGTTGCTGTTGCAGCTGCTGCTGTTGCTGCTGGTGGAAATGCTGTTGTTGTCGCTGCTGTTGCGTGTCCAGTACACTGCGTACGGCAGCAAACATTCGGCCTACAACTGCCAGCTACTTCAGTTCTGCGCGGCTAGGCAAATACTGCCGTCTGCAGCTCCTAGTGTCTACTGTTCACGGCATACATTTGGGTGTTTACGCTCTCGGGTTTAGGGCCGTGTGGATGGCGGAGGATTCCGTTGGCCCCAGTATTGTGTATACCGGGAGAGCTAAACTAAATTGAATTAACACTAAAAATAAATAGCAAAAACAAAGAAAAAGGCTGCCGATCAAAAGGCAGTCACTACCATCCGTAGGGGCCCCCCGGGGGCCCCCGTAAAGCGAGATGTCTGTTCTAACGCCGAAGCCCGAAACCCTAAACAGTAAACACTAAACCCTACACCTTAAACCCTCGCAGTAAGTGCCACACTGCATTCATTCAAGGATTTGGTTAGAGATATAGCAGGCTCTCTATGCTGAGATGGTTAAGCACTGCAGCCACATCGCTGTGGTGTAACTCTGCCGTTGTTCTCTAACCAAATGTCCTCAATTTTAGTTCATTTTACACTTAACTTTGTGCATATCATTAAAAGATGCTTTTGACTTGGCCCAACTAAACCTTAAACCCTAAACCCTAAACCCTTGCAGCCGACCAATGAGTTATTCTGAACCAACGCGCTATGAACTGCTTTTTGCATGAATGACCCCTGAAGGCGACGAAATCTCTAAAGATCTTGCTGAGCAATACCCTCTAGCATCTTTCATTCGGTGGTGTCTGTGCACAACAGCAAAGGGTGTTGGGTTGGGGGGCAATTTGTGTGGACGGTGAGTGGGGTTGGTGGATAATGTGTTCATAGATGAACTTTATCTTAGAACCTTTACCCTCGCCTTAACCTGTATGAGGCTGCATTAGGCTGTTCTGGTGCTTGGAACCACACAGCAACGGATTCGAATGCATTCGATGTTGCTGCAATGTCAGCTAGCTAAAGCCAAGCAAGTATGTAATGATTGAATCCTATGTTAGTGCACCCATCGAGAGAGGAGTTAAATATTCTCGCAGGCTGGATGTCTCTTGGCAGGTGCTGCAGCAGGAAGTGCTGCAAATCAAGTCAGCAAGTTTCCTCTCGCCCGCAGCCCCAAACCTCTTTGCCATTGGGTCCAGGAAGACTGAAGACTGGAGAGGCGGTTAGTTGCTGCGCAGAAACTCTTATTTCAAATAGTATAACTCTATTACTCCTCACGACAGTCCCCGGGTAAGGCCAAGGACTATCGGTAAACTTTGGAAAACCCCTTGGCGACAGAAGCAGACTGAACATCCCTTGTTAACAAAAAAACAGGAATGTGAACATTCCTGACATTTTGAGGGATTCGGCCCAGCTAACACTCAAGCAGTAGCGAAATTGAACGCAACTGAGAAAATAACTCTCAACTGTACTAAATAATAATAAAATAACTAGACAGTAGTAAGAAACTAGCACGAAAACAGCTCAGCGCTAGAATCCAGAAATGCACTTCTGTGAATTTGCTCCCTCCCCAGACTTCGTTCCGAGGTACAGGCTCCCCTTCACCTCAGAAAGGAACTGGGCCGGCGACAAGATGAAACCCTAAAAAAGGCATAATTCAAGTGTAAACTACCGCATTTGGACAAACACCGAGGCAGGCGAGTATACTTCAAGTCCCTCAACAAAATCATGGTGAAACAAGAGTTCTCGCTGATACACTCCGGGCGCAAGCGGTCGGTTTTGCGCCTTCCGATGCAGTTGAGCGATGTAGGGGTCTAGCAGTCTTTTCGTTATTTGGCTTCGCTGACGCGTTTTGCAGCTTCCAAAGTATCCCGACAGTGAGCGTAAGGCAATACTAAGCACACGGAAGCGGAAACTAAATTACATACAAATCTATGCATGAATCTGTGGATGTTCCTGCTGAAATGTAGTTGCAAGTTAATCATGAATTGCTTGTCAGTTCATTGAGGTCCGATGGCTAGAAGCATCCGGTCTCAGTTAATTGATTGCCACCTGGTTTCTAACGGGAGTTACTACTGTACGCGCTGCAACTGCTATACAGTTGTAACGAAGGAAACAGCTATACAAGGAGCAGATAAGTCGGTTGGCACAGCCAGTGATCGCCTCCTCGCTGGAAGCCCGACCCTCGTCAACTTCCATTGTTCAATCGGAGGACGGCTGAATATTTGACGAATATTTTTGTGAGAATATCGAGTCCGCGGTCTTTGCCGAGGACTGTGGCTAACCGCAGTAGGGTCAAAACGCTACGTCAGCTATGACTACCACCGCATATTCACCGCCACGCAGCACGACTCCAAGTGCTTCACTTGTCCGCTCAAAACTGCTTTACACGGAAGCATGTGACCATGGAGCGGATTTGGGTATCCTTGTTGTTCTACCCTCCCAAGTACAAATGAGCAGTCCTCCGGCCGCCAGGCGTTCAGGACACTGCAGCGGAAGGGGCTCGGGCAGGCGCACAGAGGAGTCGATTTCTCCTGACTTGCCGTGCGCCTCGGTGCAGCATGCGCTTGTTACGCAAGCCAACCCCACAAGCTGCCGTACCCAAGCTCTCCCTTTGACGTACGCGCTAACACTAAGATCAGTAGCCGATATGCACGCAAGTACCGTGAAACTACAGACACAGTGTAACGACTGTCACTGAGCTCTCCAAAAAGCATCCATCCTCTCACCCAGTCTGCAGGCATCATGGGCCCAGCGGCTCACCGGCGTGCAGATGGGCGAAAGGACGTCACGCGGGATGAGTTTTAACACACGTTGCTGCAGCAAGTACTGCGCGGCAATCTCATATGGAAGCACAACCAAACCCTCTTTGCTGCACGCAGTAACCCCGTATACAATTGTTAAGCGTGTATATGCCCCGTAGTAGGCAACCTGCGCGCAAGTAGAAGTATACCAACAACGGACAGAGCATGTTACACGCAGCCCAGAAAAGTCGGCAGCCGTGGCAGCGCTGTTCGGCAGTCAAGTAGCAACGGAACTCACAAAGGAGCTCTAAAATAATAATAGCAAAATAAGTGGAATTGCAAAATAGCCTAATAAACTAACTACAAAGTGCTAACAATGCACTGGCATCAGCAACAGAGTTGGGGCTGGCTGAGCCCGTGTGCGTCAAGCTGTATCGTACTGTACGAAAATGAGCTGTTGCACAGATCATGGAGATTCTATGAACTCTTAAATGGTGAAATTTTATATTTTTCGAGATGTTTCGAGCGACTCGTGGTTTTTTTTAGAGCTTGCAGGAACGTCTCGGCACTCGGCTAGGTGTCGGCTGCAGAAACAACACCGCTCGTTCCAGTTACCGAGCTGAGGTCTGCATACACAGGAGAGGCTGCTCAGTGACGCCTCACTTGTTTTTTTTCGTAATTTCTGACGCCGCTTTCCTCTTCTTCCCTGCGTGAACAATGGCGCCTTCTGCTCGTCTTCGCGTTCTCTGGTAAATGCTTGAATAAAAGAATTCGCCACATACAATGCTGCCTTGTCTTCTGCTGAAATGACTCCATTTGTCCAACCCTGCATAATTAGATTATAGGAACCATCGTTCTCTCTTCGGTTGCAAGTTATGTCTGTCTAGTCGCAGCTTCCCCGCTTGTTTTTTACAAAACAAACGCGGCATCATCTAGCGTCCACTTTTCATGCCTGCGTCAGTTTCACAACCATTTAATCCTTCAGTGAATCTTTCCTTTGCCTCGTTTGCAGCACTGGAGGTCTTGGGTATATCGGCAGCCACACAGTGGTGCAGCTCATCGAGGCGGGCTATGATGTGCTCGTAGCGGACAACCTCTCCAACGCTTCTCCTCTCGTCGAAGATCGAATTCGAAAAATCACCAACGCCACAGATGAACAGCTGCGCGTTGTCAAGGCAAGCAAAAATATTGAATGGCGCCGCTCATTCAACTTTGATTGAATTTCTTTTTCTTTGACTTGAGGGCTTGTTTTCAAGTTGCTTTTCCTTTGCTTGCGTGGTTTTCTGTCCCTTTCCGCTTCAGTTGGACTTGAAAGACAAGCAACAAACTATGCAGCTGTTCAAGGAGGAACGCGTAGATGCGGTGATTCATTACGCTGGTCAGTGCAGTTAGAACCGGTTGGTGCTCCCCCCGTCGTTATGTATTCTCCGCCTGGAATTTGGGTTCTGCTTTTCAAGTCTCGTTTTGCTGTGCTTGTTCCCCTTTTTGCAGCCCTTAAAGCTGTTGGTGAATCGGTGCAGAAGCCTCTTAGCTACTACGAGAACAATGTCGGCGGCACATGCAATCTTTTGGAGGCAAGTCCTCGTTTCCGTCCTTGTCTAACTACACGCTTTTATGTTTCTCTTAGTCACTAGACGCGACAAACACGAAACAGAAAACTGTTTGGAGCGTTTTCCTCTCTCCTCCTGTGGCACAGTTTAGGAGCTCTTACGAATATACATTCGCCACTCCTGTGTGTCGAAGTGCAGGCAATGGCAGCCAGCGGCGTCAAGTGTTTCGTCTTCTCTTCCTCTGCCACTGTATACGCCCCTAAGCCGGAATCCAAGATAAACGAAACCGACCCTCTGGGGCCCTCCAACCCATACGGTCACACTAAAGTGATGATTGAGCAGATCCTCAAGGCAAGCGGACCCTTCACCAATACCGCTATACCCCTCATATACTTCTTTAAAGTGCAGCCTGAAACTCTGATGCCCTTGGCAACGGTATACGTAGAACAGCAGAGGTACCACAAGTGCTCGGCCATGACTGCTTGTCTTTTGCTTCTGAGCAGGACGTATACACCGCTGACAACAGCTGGAAGATCTCTATCCTCCGGTACTTCAACCCCGTGGGAGCGCACCCCAGCGGCCTTATTGGCGAGTCCCCCGATCAGCCCAATAACCTGCTGCCCGTAATTCAGCACGTCGCTGTGGGCAGAANCTTATTGGCGAGTCCCCCGATCAGCCCAATAACCTGCTGCCCGTAATTCAGCACGTCGCTGTGGGCAGAAGGAAGTGCCTGCAGGTCTACGGAAACGACTGGGAAACGCCAGACGGAACGGGTACTTAGACGACGCAAACCCCCGCTCGCTTTGGGACCTAGCTGATTAACATACATTTGCATGCTCTAGTGCTTTTGCTCTGAAGGCTAGCTGTGAAGATGGATGCGCTGAAGTGCCGCAGTGCTGTTGTTATAAGCATGTAGGGAGTGGTTACTTACTACAGACTTAGCGGCAACTGGCGGCAGATGCTCATTCAAACCTGAACACTTGAAATGCATGTCGTGTACTTCCAGGCGTTCGCGACTATTTGCATGTTGATGATTTGGCCTCTGGCCACCTCGCTGCGCTCAAGAAGCTGCTACAGGCTCCAGGAGGAACCCTGCTGATACACAACTTGGGAACCGGTACGTCTTGCAAAACCAGTGCCTTGAGCGTGAGCCTTGTTTTCTGCGCGGATACACAAGCAATACTCTAAACGCGTCTCTGCACATAAGCGCATGCTCATATATGTATATATATGTTTTCACGTTGAATCGCATTTTGTGCTATTTGCCGCTGGCGGTTGTTAATGGCAGGCCGTGGGTATTCTGTCTTGGAGTTGAAGAAAGTCTTTGAGGAGGCGTCTGGCAANGGTTGTTAATGGCAGGCCGTGGGTATTCTGTCTTGGAGTTGAAGAAAGTCTTTGAGGAGGCGTCTGGCAAATCTATTCCCCACGAAGTGGTTGGCCGGTGCGTCGTTAGCAGCGAGATTTCTGGAGTAGAGAGCAGCAGTTGACATCGCCCTTCCACCTCCCTGTGCTGACTAGCAGTTCAGCTGCAGCACGCCAAGAAGGCAGATGTGTACGCGCTTGATTTGTCCTTGACGGGCTGTGGGTGCTCCGCTGTTGTTTGTTTTCGGTTGGCTGCATTCAGACGGCCAGGCGACTTGGCGTGCGTTGTGGCGGATCCGACTTTGGCGGAAAAGGACTTCAATTGGAAGGCAACGCGCACTATCGAGTCCGCATCCCTTCTATCTTTAAACACTCCCTCTATTGGCTTGACCGCTCACCATATTGCTGAAATGTAGCCAGGGTGTTAGGTTGCGGGAGATGGCATTTGTCCTGTGCAGCGGCTTACTGCTGTTTTGCAGGCGTTTTCAATTCGCATATGAAGCGTTTGCTGCTGTGCTGTTGGTGCCTTCTGCAGGGAGGCCTGCCGGTCCGCATGGAAGTGGCAGTCTAGCAACCCTCAGGGCTACGCTTGACGTCATAACGTTTCAGTTCCTCCCTCGCTCTAGTTTGCTCTTTCCTCTTCTCCCCCTCTTCATTTGCCGTACGCAGCGCCTCTCATTGGGAGAGCCCATCAACTTTTGCACGCTGGTTGTCAGGGCCGGGCGCCTACAGCCCGCTCTCTGTAAAACATTAGCGTTAGACCCTAAGCCGCGTCACAGACCACCTGGCGCGACCGCGTCTCGAATATAGACAGGAAGATGAAACCTGTTGAAGCTCCTGTCTGCAGCTAGCTGAGTGAAGGCGGAAGGGAAAGGCTTTTGCAGTGGAATGCCAGAGAGGAGCTGCACGTGTCCTTCGATGCGGGCAGTTATTTGTAAATGGCGTGAAGACACGCCTCCTACTTACCTCCTGATAGTCGCCAAGTGCTGGCGACTTTCAGACATCTGCTAGTTAAAAACTTTTGCTGTTCAATTCCATGAAGACACGAACCTCATGACGTAGCACGCCCATACCCCGTCGGGGGAGTAAGAGCGCGGCTGGGTAGTTAGCCAGATAGTACGAATAGTGCTGGGTGGCAAGCCAGGTAGCCGTGGAGCTAGCCACTTAATGTAGAAGTATGCGGGCCAGCTGGCCGGTTAGTTCGCTCATGTCGTTGAGCGTGTGGCTTATTGGACAGTTCAGTTTATTGGAGCTCCAGCACAGCAAGTGTCCGCCAATTAACCGCTATCGATGCAAATAACGACGGGGTTCTTGCATTCACTTGGTGTGAGCACAAAGGCAATAGGTGAACAAACAAAAATAGCCCCCTACCGGGATCGAACCGGCGACCTTCCGCTTACAAAGCGGATGCTCTACCTACTAAGCTAAGAAGGCGAGAGATGGGCCTCTTGAGTTTACGCGTGGCCGCTGTCGAGCCCAGCTCGAAAAGAACAAATTGAACAGTTTACAGTTTATAGTGAGACAGCCGCCTTCTCCGGCTCTTGAGGGGGTGTCCTTGCATGATCACTGTTGTTCATTTTACTTTTTTGCCGACAAAGCGTCGCTCTTCTCTGGGGACACCCGATGTTTGCCGTGACTCTGCCACCAGTAGCTCAGTAGGTAGCGTATCTGCTCGGTAGACAGAAGGTCCTAGGCTCGATTCCAGCAGGCAGATACTTGACACTGAAAATGTTGTCGAGTCAGTTTACATGTTTACCTTTTCTGTTACCGACATACCTGACAAGGTATGTCGGTAACAGCCCGTTAATTTCGCGCCGTTTTGTCGCCTGACTGGCTCTGCTTTAGTTTGAGCGCTGGCTGGGCATTTGCTGCGGAAGGCCTTTGGTATCGCACCCACCGGTGAACGGTATCTCCCTTTGTAATTCATGCTGAAGTGCCTACTGTCGTTCAAACTGGTTTGTGACTCTCGGAGGCGACCTCGGGGTCACCGCTGCCGACCACCGGATGACACTCATATTGTCTGCGCGGCAACGGCCTCCTTGTGCCCAAAATAAGGAGAAATATAGAGGGAATAAATGCGTGGAACAACAGAGAAGGAAGAAAGTTCCAGCCAAGGCCCCCACTTGTTGTGTTCCAGGGGTCTAGCAATGCAGCTGTGGTGTTGTGACCCTGCGGTTCAGCAGCGGACCTCCACGTTCACTGGAGGATGATATCCTGAGTATCAGGGGTATTTTAGCAGTTAATTTGCATTTAAGGAAGCATTTGCTAGAATGTCTAACTTGGGAATATAAAATAGGGGCTTAGTACTCAAATAGATGCCGGTCTGGACCATTGGCTAAAGCACACCGTGAGGAGACAACGCATGAAGAGAGGTTCAGAGATACCGACTCAGGGCTGCCGCTCCCAGGATGCCTGGCGACAAGTTGGAGAGGTCATAGGCTTGTAGGGAGCTCCTACTTTAGGGCCTTTTTGGTTTCTTTGCAGATCGTGCCGGCCCTCGAAATAAGGCCAACGCCTTGAAAGAACAGCTTGCGCCGCTTAGCGCAGACTCGAATAGTTTGAGCCTCTACGGTTTGATCAGTTTATTAATTTACTTCAATAGTGTATGGACGCATAAGGCTTACCCAATACATCGGTTCAATATTAATCTACAACGATACTACCCCCCTGTGCAAGGCAAGCTGTGAATTACGCGTTGCGTTTGTCTGTGCTCCGATCATGTACCGGTCATACAGAACAAAAAGGTGTTCCTTAGAACAAGTCCGTTACATCCGTGTATTTGAGCATGTGCTGCATGAACCAGGTCGAGCGAAGCAGGCCGCACGCAGCGTGATCGGTAATTGCAGACTCCCCCCGACAGCGCACACTAGCGCTAAAATCAAACAAAAACACTCAAGAATAGTAATAGAGCCTTCTGCCGGAATCGAACCGGCGACCTTCCGCTTACTAAGCGGATGCTCTACCGACTAAGCTAAGAA